ATTGTCAAGCCAAGGAAGATACTCAATGCTTAACCAGCTTTAAAGGTGCCTCATCCTTAGCCAAGTGAGAAGTATTGTATATGCACAGGATGCCATGAGACCTATAAGTTTCAGGAAGAAACTGATGTTGTTGTGAGGCTGAGGTTTCACAGAAACTACTGACTTCTGAATTTCCTGAAACCTGTGACATAGCAAGTAAGCAGTTGCAGATTTAGGGACAGAACCTCTGTCCCTGCTCCAGCTGTGTAAACTAGATGGAAACCCAGCTAACAGATTTCCTTGGGTTTCCCTTGGGGCAGTGGCTCTCAACCTTTCCAGACCACTGTACCCCTTTCAGGAGTCTGATTTGTCTTGCGTAACCCCAAGTTATACCTCGCTTAAAAACTACTTGCTTACAAAACCAGATATAAAAATACAAACTATTACTGAAACAATGCTTTCTTTCTAATTTTAACTGTATAATTATAAAATAAATCAACTGGAATATGAGCAGTATAAACAAGTCATTGTCTATATGAAATTTTACTTTGCTAGTGGTTTTTATGTAGCCTGGTGTAAAACTAGGCAAATTTCAAGATGAGCTGATGTACCCCCTGGAAGACCTCTGTGTACCTCCAGGGGTACACGTGCCCCTGCTTGAGAACCACTGCTCTAGGGGAATCTCCAAGCACCTTGAGCCAGCTCTATGGTCTCCCACACCAACTCCTTCCCAGCTCCCAGTGTAGGAGCCCTGCCTGGGGAGAAAGGGGATCTAGCCAGAGCTACACTGTGCTCCAGCACAGGATATGTCCTGAACTGACATATTAGACCCTTGGAGCCACAGCCAGCTGGCTATGGCCTCACATAGTATCAAGAATCTATTATACTTGGTCAAAGAATTTTAGGTCACTCTTTACATTAAGGTTGCATTTATAAATGGTTTATAAAAGGTTAATAAATTATTAACAGATGTTATAAGCATATAACAGACATGAGTAATATGTGTTATAAGCACATTCAGTAGAAGGTGTTACAGATGGATATAAGCCACATGAATAAAGCAACATATTGAGCTATTGGACTCTATAGTAATGTATAAGAATTGATTCACCATGTATTAAAACATCCATTAATAATTTATTAACCATTTATATACTATTTATAAATGGAACCTTAATATAAAGATGGACTATGTTTTCCATTTTATCTGGTTGTTAGTTGGGACAACACTAAAATCACATCTATGAATTCACTATGTGCCCATTTCACTATAAAGGATTTAAGCAGAAGCCACACAGGTTCAAATTCTATCTACTGATATAAAGTATTATCATACCTTCCAATTGATAACAAATATCCATATTCCAGCAGTGGGCTAATTCCTCACTGGGAGAGAAAATGAGTGGACACAAGTTACCTCATTATAATCTAATTAATTTACTATATATATATCATTTAGAACAGAGATATTAGAAAGCAAAAGCCAAACACAGTAGAAATTCAGTATGCTCACAAATGTAGTCAAAAGCTCAGAGACCTGCAGAAAGCAGCTGTACTGCATCCCTCCAGCCAGATTCTTTGTAACTAAGTTTGCAGGAGTATTTATATTATGCCAAATAAATTAAATTATTTAATATGACCAGGTGCTAAAGTTTTAAGTCAAAATCACCTTCAGTCAGATGCCTCAGATGTCAATCAAAATCACCTCTGAGCTACTGCCAGCACTCTGGGTCAGTCTAGTCTTTTCTATAAACATAGTCATTTGTATTTCCAAAAGATCTCCATTTCACATTTCAAAGATTTCTTTTACATTTGACATTGGTTTCTATGAGATCTCTATTCCTCACTTACCTGCTTTTGAACACTTGCCCTTTAATCCAACCTGCTTTGCACCCCTAATCAATGGAATGAGAGCCAGTCTAATTCACTGAGGAAGCGGACAGCAGAAGGAGAATACAGCCAGTTCAGTGAAAGCACAACAGACATCAACAGGGAGTGGACAGAAAGAAGTCAGAGCAAGGAGTGAGGAAAAGTTATCCAGATGGCCAGTCAGCAATGGGTACTAGTAAAACTAGATAAAACTTGGATTTCATTGAAACAGAACACAACACTAGCACTGACCCTGATCACCTTACTTATGGGTTAGATTGTGCCACAGTAAAGAGCAGTCTTGAGCTGCCTCTTCCCAGAGAAAGCACTGATAAGCATTCTGCAGCAGAGTCTGTCCCAGAGCTTCAGGCACACAGAAGCTGTAGGTCAGCTTCTAAGGCCTTTGTGGTGGTTCAGGATATCAATAAGCCCTGTGCAGTCAGATAGATCTGCTGGCTAGTGCTTTGTGGTGGGAAAGGGTAAAGCGATGGTCTCACCTCCTTTTAACTTCTAAGGGAGTAGAGAAGGAACAGTCCAGCACTCCTCCTGAAAGCAGGGACTGCAACTGCCCAAAGGGAGATGGAAGCTCATTGTACCCCGACCCGTCATATGTGCACTTAGGGCAATGCAGAGTCTAACTCTACATCATGGATACTACTCTGATCAAGATGCCCTATAATGTCACTTCCCAAGTTATAAATAAAGATTTGGTATCACTGACTTTTACTCACATTACAATATATCTTGCAAAGTGTTGAGCATCTCCTTCAAGATGCTCAGAACCTTCAACTTTCAGTGAAGTCAGAAGGCACCTAGTGGTTCAGAAATCAAGCTACCAACAGTGATGTAACTTTCAAGGACCAGTGCAAAAGCCAAGTCTAAGAGAGATTAACCTCTTTTTTTGTTTTGTCGGATCTTTTAATGCCTTTTTAACCTGTCGATCACTGTCCCATGTGAATAAGGCCCTCATGTTAGAGAAAGTTAAAGCATTTTCCATTTAGGAAGAGGTCATTCAGTTTTTCTGAACAATTGTATCAGACTTCCCCCTCTTTTTACCTACAATATGCCAAATATACTATTACTGGGTATATTGCTGTTTACAGAAACAAGCATCCAAAGGTTGTAAACACACCCAGGACAGAAACACCACATCTTTTAATTTCCTGATAACGATAACCACAGCTTGTGCATTCCTTCTCAAGGTAAGTTTGTTCTATTATACAGGAATTAACACATTATAGCTGACATTTATTTCTGCCTCATGTAGACTTCTAAAATATAGATTTTAAATGAAAAATTAATGTAATTAATATAAAGAACCTTAATATTAAAATAATAGTTCTTAATTATTTAACATTTTCATAATTAATTACTGGCAAATGTTTATAGCAATTGAGTTGCAGAAGAGGGATATATCCAAGGCAGAGTTTATTCTTTGAAAATTCAGCCAAGGTATCACTCTGGTACTATTTGATGGGCACATTATAATTATATCTAAGAAGATAAAATGAGAGAGACATGAAAGCTCCACATGGTATTCTCTGAGGGTAGCACATCAAAGACTCAGAAAGAGAGTTCTGAAACTATATTTTAGTGGATGTTTCCACCACAACAGCCTCTGAATTCTCAATGGAAAAAATAAAGCGCTCTCAGGCTGTTAAATCAGATTCTGATTATTGGGAAAAATTAACTTAAAATTAACCATGGTAAGCCTACATAAACTTCAAGATTTCTTAAAAAAAACAGATAGTATAGTACAGTGCAGTATACAGCACTGCAATTTATAAAATTTCCAAGAACTTGGATGATATATAATCTCCTATATCTGATTCTGACATACCTAGCAGCTGTGGAGCTAACACTAGGTAGCAAATAGTGGTGTTAAATTCTCCATATTGCACACAGACACACTGGAAACACAATACAGTACAAAGCATATGCAGGCCAAATTTCATCTATTAGATGAAACCATTCAGGGAGCCATTATACCACCAGATCAAGCAAACAAGCACCTGGAGTACTGTAACTTAAACCTTACCTATAGATACTGATTCCAGGTACCCCCAGGTGGTTCACAGATTTTTGTAATATTAGATACTTTTGATCAGAGGTTATTTTTAGTCAATTGTCAGAGAAGGCTAAATAATAACTGAACGCAGGCATCAAAATTATGTGTTAGTCTCTGCTACAATATAACTTCTTCTGTACACACTGTATCACTGAATTGTATCAGCTGATTATCTTGCAGAATCTTTATCTCTGAATTTTGATGATCCATTAACTGTATAAACTCTTCTGAAACCAAGGTAAAAACCTGTCTTTAAAAATGAGGAGCTGCTGGTTTATGAAGGCGCTGCTTTTTCCTTGTGATACTTGTTTTTTAAATCTTTGAATGTTTATATATATATATATATATATATGTAAGAATAATAGAATGCTTAACATTCTGTAATTATTTTACAGAGAAAAAACACATAAACCAAAAAATACGTTCACATTCCTTTCATTTTGAGATAAGTCAGGAAATGGAAATGGAATTTTCTTCTTTCATTTACACTAAGGGAAAATGAAGTTACACTGAAGAGAAGACCAATACATTCCACTCAGCATTCCTCCAAATTACTTATACATAAGCAGGACAGGCTCTAGTGTTTTTGCCACCCCAAGCAGACAAAAAAAAAAAAAAAAGACCACGATCGCGATCGGCGGCAATTCGGCGGCAGGTCCTTCACTCCGAGAGGCAGTGACGGCTCCGCCGACAAACGGCCGGACGTGCCGCCCCCCTCTTCATTGGCAACCCCAGGCACCTGCTTGCTACGCTGGTGCCTGGAGCCGGCCCTGTACATAAGTAGGGTCACATAGGTATAACTGGGTGCAGAATTTCATATCTATGATTAATATTGAATGTATTTAGCAAATTCTCATTCGGAGTCTTCTTAGTCTGCATTACATGGAAGATCCCCTTCTAGCACATATTGGACCTAATCTTGTGAGTTTATGAATGCCTCCTCTGACGGGAGTTGAGTGATCACTATGTTCAGACACATTATGCATCTTTGAAACAACACATACATTGGAAAATACTTTTTCTGGCAGTTTTAAAGTGTAATTAATAAACCAGCATACAATTATGAATTAATAAATCAGCTCACCTGCAAGTGCTGAGAGTTGTCTGTCATATTGTCTTCTCGCCTACGAACTTCTTCCAGCAACTGAGCATTCTTCTTTTTTTCCATTTGTTGATTGTGCTTCAGATTGGCCACTTTCTTGTTTTGATCTTTCATATGTCTAAGAATTGTATGCATATGCCCGTTAATGCTGATGGCTACAATCACGTATCTCTTGCTACAATTTAAACTTGTGAATATGATTTATCACCAGATGTCAGCTTTAAAACATAACATTTTATCCTGTTTTTAAAATGATATATCAAAATGGTCTAGATGAAATGAAATTTCCAATGATAAAACAAATATTCTGGCCCATAGATTATTTTCATCTTTAAAACCTTCTCACAAGTCATATTCCAAACACTCTTTATGCTAAAAAAGATGTATAATCTCATGATATTGCTGTCACACAACATAGTAGAGATAATTTTTTTCAAAGAGTTTGTTGTATGTTTGGCTGCCTGCTTCAAAAAGAATAGTTTCTGACAATGGGCTGGATCCTGCAGTCTTCATACAGGTATTGGTTTCACGGACAGTTTTGCCTGAATAAGGATTACAGGATTGGGCCTTGCAGTAATATTTAATAATTAATATACAGGGAAATAATAGGTAAAGAATACTGAATGTTCCAGCTGTGCTGTTTGCTGAAGTATGCTGCACATTCATATTTTTACAGTTCATTTAGGGGTGGCTTTTGGGGGGGAAAAGATGTAAACCAGAGGAGCCTTATGTTTTTAAATGACATAATTCTGATTTCTACAAAGGAATTAGGTAAATAAATCAATTTCTGGCTAGCATTTCATGAAATTAGAAATATTTTCTCAGAATTAAACATTTTATTTTGTTAAGACTGAGCTCAACTTAAGCTAAAAATTATATTATTAAATTGTTTCAAAGTTGACTCATATTTCACTATGAATCCTATTTATTAAAATATTCGGAATTCTCCTGCTTCTTGTACTTAGAATATTTCCCTGGATGAATGGAGTAAAACACAGGTTTTTTTTTTTTTTGCTATTTATCCTACATCGTCAGCAACTGTCATGTCAAGCTCTAAAAAAATTCTTAGAGCAGCATTTTCTACCTGCTTGGGTTACTAGATATTATTTTCTTTGACTTTCTTTTGATTCTGAGGAATTTGCTTCTTTTTATCTATATAATAATAAAGTCATGTGCAAATTCCTAATCAGATCTACAGGCTAATCCTTTTTTGCCAAATGAAGGGGATATTTTCCAGTGCCTATAAGGAAATTCCCCAGTTGCTTCTGAAGTGGACACTTTAAGAAAAGATCTAGCTACAATGTACATTTGCTGCACAGATATTAGGCTGCTGCAACAATTGGGCCATGTTTTATAATTTTAATTGTGTTTTCTACTGACAGCGCCACCTACTTCCCACGATGGCGCCTGTCATTTATTATTTACACTATAACTTTCATGTGAATCTCAAGGAAAACACATTAGAAAAGAATGGCATAGAACAAATTTGTAAGTACAGCACCATTATACAGCAGATAATCTATTATTATTAATGGAAAAATCACCAGTAACTATGTAAGAGTAAGAATTTATAAAAGCAGTTAAATTAAAAACTAACACTACTTGAAAATAGCCTACGGTATTTCTACTAGGAAAAGCCTTAAAAAGTTTCAGGGAACAATGTTGTCTGATCAGAGATATAGAACTCTGCTTACTGCAAGTACTATAAAATTAAATGAATTTTCCCCAGATCTCAGTCCAGCCACAGAGGTTGAAGAAGGGCTTTGCTATTCTGAAAAGAAATTTGGTAGACAACGGAGCTGAAACCTCTATTTTTCCACGAGCAAAACTAAAAAGGGCCTGATTCTTTGTTGTTTTCAGCACCTTACTTAGTCATTTGCAACAGTGAAAAATGAGTGTAAAAGGCTAACATCATGATTTGATAGCATTTTACTTTTACTTTGCACTGGTGTAAAGGACTACACAAGGTGCAGGGCAATGGAAAATCAGGCCCAAGACCACTTTTGTTGGGCAATCACATATATTCTGAGATTAAGCAGCAGCAACCAGATTACATGACTATCTCTTAAATACTGTTGAAGGCAAGGGCACTGATGTACAAGAAACTAACAATGACTGAAACAGGACTCCGAGCATATTAATTTCCTTCCTTTTTTGACATGTTCCCTTTTTTCCTTCCAGAACTGGGGAAGACCTCCTGCTAAATCCTTAGCAATGCAATGTTCTTTCACACAATGTAATTTTTATATATTACTAGAGCGAGACTGTATAAATGCTTTATATTACATCAATTAGAAGTTAAGATGGCAGAGTAAGAAACTGGAACATTATCCTTTACAGATCATTACTCAGAGTTTCTCCCTCTCTGTATAATGATGGATGCCAACATATAACAGTTTGTTTCTTGGTGATTGGTTTTGGTTACAGTGCAGAGTGGAATAACTGGTATCCAGTGCCGATAAAAGCTGAAAGTGCCAGCTTCTGAAGATAATAAAGACCTGAGTTTCACTGGTAGACCTTGTGTCTGTGGAAAGAGAGAGCCTGAAGTCTTCATAGACTCCTTTTGTACCCTCCTTCTACCCCTTTGCAGGAGGGAGGATGAGAGGATTCAGAAGTGAGCTGAATTCTAGAGATAGGCTGAGAATGGTCTATCCTAAATTATGGGTCATATGTTGGGAGTCCTGTAACCCCTGCACTGAAATCACTTCAATGCCTGGTACATGAGAGATGTGGGACATACAGCACACCTCCCCATGTTAAGTTAATAAAGTTACAGCCTGCCACTTAAATCCATCCCTGTGTCTGCCATCATTCACCTGCATGTCCTGATCCTGTGAGAGATGGAGGGAAGATGGGAAGTTAGGTGGCAGTATTACATCATCCCATGCTATTTCTCAGATTATACAATAGAACATACAAATGTTTCTAGAATTTTAGACAATGTAGCACCTTCTGTTATTGACTACTACATAGTATATGACAGTAAGAGAACTGCTGAACTTCATACAAATGTAAGTATGCAAAGCTGATATGCAGAGCTCTGCCTCATTCACTGTGTGAAAGAGGCACTTTACAAAGGCTGTAGAAAAATACGTATGAAAGTTATAATGTATTATTTAAGAAAGAGTTTTTGATCATCTGAATATTATTATTTGTATTGCAGTAGTGCCTACAACCCCCAATCCGGGATTAGGGCCCAACTGAGCTAGGCACTATACAAACAAATCAAAGACAATCCATGCTCCGGACAGATCACTGTATAGGGTTATGATAAGAGGCAATATATAATCAGACAAATGGATGGTGGATGTTTAGCAGCAAAGGTCAGTACATTTGCATAGCATTAGTACAGTAATCTCAGAGCTCACAGTAAAGATTGCATTCTAATATGCATATACAAAATAGAATTAAGGTTGCAAGTGGAAACCCCACTGACATTCCTTGACAACTGGGTACTTAAAATGCACAACTAACCGTTTCTTGAGAAAGGTTTTGAGAGACTCTGCTAGATTGTGGGTATTTTGTATATTTGTTTAATTATTTTTTAAATAAAAAAGAAATATAATCAAACTATATTGCTAGAAGTCTCTGGAATGCTCTCTCTTGTGCACTCCCGTCCCTATTCAAGAAAGCGCTCAAGCAGGTGTGCAACTTTAAGCACATTAGTAATCCCAATGACATTAAACGGTCTAATCACACTCTTTGCTGGATTGAGACCTCATTGGGCATGTCTACACTGCAGTTAAAATCCATGGCTGGCCCGTGCCAACTGACTCAGGCTCATAGGGCTCGGGCTAAGTGGGTGTTTAACTGTGATGTAGACAGGCTTGGGCTGGAGCTTGGGCCCTAGGATCTCAGAAAGTAGGAGGTTCCCAGAGCTCGGGCTGCAGCCTGAGCCCGAATGTCTATACCACAATTAAACAGTCCCTTAGCCCGAACCCCGCAGCCTGAGACAGTTGACATGGGCCAGCTGCGTGTTTTTAATTGCAGTGTAGACTTACCCAGTGAGGACTAACTTCTGTATAATCCTTTCTCACGGAGGACCAGATTCTGCCACTCTACTTTCACTCAATGGTGCTACTCACATTAGCGGGACTACTCACAGAATGAGGTCACCCTCAGTGGGCAAGATTGACACAACCCTTACTCTGCTGTGCAGATAAGGAATAGGGAATAAGGCCCCCTCCTACCTCCCACTCATAACTTCTGAGACTGTGATTCCAGCTGCAGTGGAGAGCCAGCTGCAGTGGAGAGAGAGACAGAGAGAACAAGAGCTATTTGCCTGACACTCCTTGCTGTGAGCAAGTGAGTGAGGAAGGGGTGGAAGAGTAGGACCTTCCCTCTCCTCTGCTCTCTCCCCACCCACCACTAGCCAGCCAGAGTAGTTAGTTGGGACACAACAGGGGAAGAAGCTGCTCTACAAAAAGAGTTAAAATAACTTCTCTCCAGAACAAGGGAGAGAACAGGGGAGGATTGTGACTCTGATTCCCAATTAATTCTCTGGTCTCCTTCTGGGGCACTGGACTATGCATCGCCCTTCAGTGAGGTCAGATCGTAAGGTTACAATCTAGCTCATAATTTGGCTGAGCATGCACCCAATTTAATGAGACAAAGACTCATTTCCTGCCCCAGTAAGTGCATTTCAAATAAGTGCAATCCTACAGAAAGATCTGGTGCACAGGCCTTCGAATCTTTCAATTTAAAATGCAGATGTGCATGTACCAAAATATCACACACAGATATGCACATGTAAATTTGCTTACTAACAAGTGGATAATCGGCCTCTTAGAATACAGTATTTTCATATGTTTCGTGACCATTTTTGACAAACTGAAATTCCCCTAAAGCTAAACACATGGGTTGGTATTTGAACTTTCAGTGATTTAAGTCCTTCTATATAATTATTTCCAACACAATCGCTTTTATCAAAGGGTTTTCATGATAATATCTAGGAAGCAAAATAATAAAAACAAGAGAACTTTTATTTTTAGAGATTGACCCAGAAAGAAAGAACTCTGTGTTTGTGTTGTTAGTTTTCTTTATCTTTTTACTGTATGGAGCAATGATCAGTGACAAAGACCCTGCTTTCACCAATGCTTGCAGGAGAACAAAGCTCTT